TTTATAATGGTCTGGCCCTCTAGCAACTTCAGCGCGAAATTATAGCAAATTTGCCTACAAACGTCAGGTGGTCATAATAATCTGGCCACTCAGTGTATATATGGAACTATTTTGGGGTTCTCCATTTTATTCCAGTGATCTACTTACCTTTACACCAATACCACAATGTCTGGATTCCTGTGGGTTTATAATAAGTGCTGCAATCAGGTTGCATTAGTTCTCTAATGTTGTTCTTACTTTTCAAAGTTGTGCTGGTTATTCTGGGACCTTTGGGTTTCTATCTGAATTTTAGAAACTGGCTGGTGTGATTCAGTGGTTATAGTGTCGGCCCAAGCACCAAAGGTTATCGGGTTCCATTCCCAGTCAAGGGCATGTACATGGGTTGCAGGTTCAAATCAACCCATGGTCAGTGATCATGTAGAAAGCAACCAAACAATGTGTCTCTTTCACATCGATCTTTCTCTTTCTCTCTCTTCCTCTCTCCATCTCTTTCCATCTCCCTTCCTCCCTTCCACTCTCTCTAAAAAAAATGACTCAGTGGTTACAGTGTCGGCCCAAGCACCAAAGGTTATCGGGTTCTATTCCCAGTCAAGGGCATGTACATGGGTTGCAGATTCAAATCCCTAGCTCTGGTCAGTGCTCATGTAGAAGGCAACCAAACAATGTGTCTCTTTCCCATTGATCTTTCTCTTTCTCTCTCTTCCTCTCTCCATCTCTCTCCATCTCCCTTCCTCCCTTCCACTCTCTCTAAAAAAAAAGGCAATGGAAAAAATACCCTCTGGTGAGAATTTTTTAAAAAATAGCCTGCTTAAGTTTCTATTAGAATTGAGAAAAATTGACAGCTGTACAATATTAACTCTTCCTGCCTATGAACATGGTATATTTCAATTACTTAGGTCTTCTTCAGTTTCTCTCACCAATGTTTTATAGTTTTCTTTTTTAAAAAAAAATACACTTTAATTTGTCCCAGAGAGGGAGAGGGAGAGAGAGATAGAAACATCAATGATGAAAGATAATCATCAATCTGCTGCCTCCTACACATCCCACACTGGAGATTGAGCTAGCAACTTGGGCATGTGCCCTGACTGGGAATCAAACCCTGACTTTGTGGCTCATAGGTCAACACTCAACCACTGAGCCATGCCAGCCAACCTGTTTTATAGTTTTCAGTGTATAGAAAATCATAAAAGCATTTGTTTTTATTTCTAATATATAGAAACACAATTGATATTTGTGCAGTGATCTTGTATTCTGCAGCCTTGCAAAAACTCATTTAGTCGAGTTTTTGTAAATACATTGGATTTTTACATACAGAATCATATTATCTGAGAGTAAAGTTTTACTTCTTCCTCTCCATCTTGGGTGGCTTTTCTCTTGCCTTATTGTACAGGCTGAAGCCTCAGTAAAAATATTGAATAAAAATAGTGAGAATGGACATCTTTTTCTTGTTCCTGGTCTTCTGGGGAAAGCATTCGGTCTCTCACCATTAGGTATCATGTTACCTGTAGATTTTTCATAGATGCCCTTTATTGGGTTGAGAACATTCCCTTCTATTCCTACTTTGGTGTGAAATTGATGTGGGTCTCTTTTATATCTTTCATGTCTTAACTTTTGACCATATGGATTATCCTATACTAGAGTCCCAATGCATGAAATTTATACAAGAGTAGGCCTTCCTTCCCCCAGCTCGGCACCCAGGACCTGGGCTTCCCTCTGGCACCCAGGACCTGGGCTTCCCTCGCAGCCCCAGCTTCGTCTGGAAGGACGTCCAGTCTAATTAGACTGACCATCAGAACTATCAGTCGCTATGACACGCACTGACAACCAGGAGGCAGACGCTCAACGCAGGAGCTGCCCTCAGGCCCCAGGCCAGCCAAGGCGGGTCTCCCCAATTGCCCCACCAGTCACCCTGCAGAGGGAGACAACCACCGCGGGGGGGGGGGGGGGGGGGGGCCGGGGGGGAAAAAGGGGGGGGGGAGGGCCGGCGAGTTGGCAGAGCCAGGACGACCAAGGCGGGTGCCAGTGGGGACCCACCAATTGCCCCGCCAGTGCTCCCACCAATTCGCCCTGATCGCCGGCCGGGCCTAGGGACCTTACCCGTGCATGAATTTTGTGCACAGGGCCTCTAGTAGTAGTAATAACTGCTTTATTGTTTTTGTCTAATGATTCTAATACCTATGTAAGTTCTAGGTTGGTTTTAAATGATTAATTTTTCTCCTCATTATGGGAAATATTTTCCTGTTAATTTCATCTTGTTGGGTTCTTAATGTTTTTATATTTAAAATATTTTTTAATTTTGTTCTAGGTGCAGGCAAATTATTTGAAACCACTTGACCTTTTTGAGTCTAGCTTTTCATATTTATTAGCTGGAATCAGAATTGTGTTTAGCGTAGGGCTCGTTATTGCCCATGACTGAGGCAAGACCTTTTGAGTATTCTTTCCCATGCCACATAAATTATGAGGTTTAAACCATGCTCAGGGGGGACAAATTACTTTTGGATATTAGCACACACTAAACTATCTAGAAAAGTAAATTAACAAACATCCATATCATGCATCCTAGAGACAGGATTTTCACACTTCTGAACCATCCACATCACTGCTTCCATCTAGCTGCTCTTAATGTGAGGCCAAATGTCCTCAAGCAATTATATTTATTAGTTCACCTTCCCCCAACTTTACTCAAAATAAGCTAAATGTCAGAGTCCTCTCTCTCTCTAGGGCCTCATGTGCGATACATTCAGAAGCCTGACAACAGGCCCTGCTCCATCACCGACTCCATCAAACGGTTCCCCAAAGAGGAGCCCCCAGAGGGGAATGCCACCAGCCCGCCGCAGAACCCACCCTCCAACCTCACCGTGGTCACCGTGGAAGGATGCCCCTCATTTGTCATCTTGGACTGGGAAAAGCCACCCAATGACACGGTCACTGGTAAGAGCCTGGCAGAGGACTGTTACTAATGTGCTGCAATGGGCCTGCGGAACCCTGGGTCAAACTATAGCCTGTGGGTCCTCGCTCAGGAGCAGCGAGTCCTAGCAGAGTTCTGCTGTCCCTGTGGCACATTCCTGACGAAAGTGTCATGTGATGGGGAAAGATCATCTTTGTCCCGGTTATGGGCTCCCTGTTCATCATCCTTCACCGATCTCTCTAAGTTGCATCCTTTCATCTCCTCTTAGAATGTTTTCATAATGGGGGGATATATCTAGTTTTTTCATTACCCAGAAAATTACAGATAATATATGAGAAGTTGCCACTGCTGATAATATTTAAATCAGTTTTCCTTTCACCAACCCAGTTTCTAGATCAACCTAGAACTTTCAAGCAGGCTAAAATGTTATTTCAATCATTTCAGGATACATGTTTTAAAAATTCTATTCCTGGTCAATTTTCTGCTTATTTCCTGAAATTTTTATTCTGCTATCCACTCACCCATTTCCTTTTAAAATTACTGTGAAAATTAAAAATCCTGAGTCATTCCTTGAACTTGTTAGATGGGAATTTAATTCTCCATAATGAACAGAATAATCCAGCTAGAGAGGAAGGGGAAAGATCAACGACCTAAATCAGTTTGAGAATACAGCCTGAGTATGCAAGGTTCCTGCTGCCCACGTCCCTGTTCGGGCGCCTGGAGCGGGTGGACAAGCCGCAGAGGAGCCCGCTAAGAAGCTGTCAGCAGGAGTAGAGATCCCTACACAGAGGGTGTGGGGAGTGCAAATTTCAGGCTCTGCCAAAAAAGTTTTCTACGAATAAAGAAGAAAACAGCAGGTATATCTCCTCAGACAAACTGTCTGGGAAACTCCAGTGTAAGCAGCCTGTCTTTACTTAGCTGGCTTTTTTAAAAACCATATTTTGTAAATTTTCTTTCTCATGTAAAGCTTACCTTTGTATTGAGAACAAACAAGTCACTGCCAGCAGCTCCTGGGGACTTGCCTAGTTCTGCTTCTTTACTTGGGACTGTGCCCATAGGTGCTAAGTCAGTATCTAAATCAGCATCAAAAAATCAATCAATCTCTAAGTATTGATTATCTACATGTATTAAAAAGTTCAAAACTTTCAATCCATATATTGTGCTAATAAGAAGTTCCTGTGGTAGTCTGAAGTTTAATTCTCACAAAACCAAATGATCTATAAAATTTCATTTGCCTTAAAGATGTGGGACATCAAGTTGGAATTGGTTAGTCTACTAGGTCTAATAATTTAATAGAGCAATTTTCAACCAATATACCACGACAATTTTTAAAACATACAATACCTGACTATTTAGTCAGGAGCACTGACCTCTTTTCCCTTAGACTGTCAAATTAAAAAATGACAACAGCTAACACAACAGCTATCCAGTGTGAACCATAAATACATAGGTCATATAAGAGTTTCATCTTATTAGTCACATTGCACAATAAGAGTAGGTAATTACCATTTTTTAATCAATCAAAATTGTACCTGTTTTTGTCAGATTGACAAAAAATATATTTTTAGTGTGCTGCAGAATTTTAGTAATTAGTTTATGTGTGCCATGTGATGAAAAATGTCAAAAATCACTGACCTAATACATGTAATACATATTCACTTGTGTATGTCAATTATATCTGATTTTTTTAAGAGAATGATTTTTCTTTCTGGTTTATTATGTAACATTTTTTAAAAATCACGTAAGCTTGTAATCTCAAAGTATTCTAACCAATTACTTTTGGAACACTGTTACCAAATGTTAATGGACTGATTGAGATCTTTCATAAGATAACAGACTTAAATAACAGTTTTCATGGATAAGGACCACATCTCTTTAGCTATATTTTATACATAAAAATAATTCTATATTTAACTATTACTCATCTGGCCTGTATTTAAATGTTGGGCAGACGATATACCCTAATGGTATGTTCTATTTTTTTTCATTTCTGTTTATTTTAAAATTGTTAATTTAAATGTAATCTTGCTTTCAAATAAACCAGCAGCCCAGATCTTATAGAAATTAATTCTCACATCACTGAAAGTGATATGAAAGGAAAAGATTGAGAAAAAGAACAGAAAGAGAGTGAAACATATTCTTTATTACATGCGTTGGCTTGGTCTATCTCTCTCCATAAATCTTTCTTTTAATTGACAGACATGTACACATTCACCTCTAGTAAACACATTCAAATTCAGTTGCTTCTACATGTCCCTTCTACACTAATGTAGAAATAGGTGGCCTAAGAAATTGGCCACACACTGCTGGGGTCCTTGGCTACTTAAAGTTAAGTTGGTTATAAGGTGTTGCTTTATGATATGCCAAGAATGTGCTGACATCTATTCAAATCCCAGACCAGCTGTGTTCTAAATATGGAACTTGGGTATATAGTTAGCCTCTCTGAACTTTAGCTTCCTTATTTGTAATGATATTCATCATTATCAGTTTATCCTGAGGATAAAATTAAACAGAATGAATGCCCAGCATAAGTCAGCAGCTGTTAAATTAATGTTTGTCAGTGGTTGAAGTAGTAGGACAGGGAGAAATAGTATCACCATTACTATTTTCATGCTCTGTTGATTAGAGTGGTGTTCCCAAACTTTACAATAAATAACTTTTTCTATTAAGTGAAATTTTTCATAGTAGGACAATAAAACCATTTGAAGAGGGGGGGGGGGGTGATATAGATAGATCCTTTAAATTTGAAGTCAAAAGAAGATTAGAGAAGATATAAAATAAGAATTTCAGGTTTGAAGGGCTGGGGTAATATTAAAAAGAGTAACATATAGTCGATAAATGCTCCAAACCAAAGATTTTTTTTGAAGGTAGTAGCTTTTATGCATATCCAATTGGAATGTCGCAGAAATTGTTCTTTTGATAACTAAATTATACTTCAATCTTTTCGAATGAAATCTTTCAAATTTTTGTGACCCTATTTTCAAAACACAACTAATACGGGATAATAAAATAATAGGTACCACGTGTTGAGCAAATAAGCACTGGCTATATATGTTCCTAATTTAATCCCACAAGCAACACTCTGAAGAGACATTATTGACATTTTACAGATGGGAAAACTGGGACTAAGATCAAGGCAAGTGGCTTGGTCTATCTCTCTCCATTAAGCCACACAGTTTCCATTTTTTAAAAATAAAGTTTACTCCCATTTAATTACTAGTACATGTTTCTAGTAAATATCCCTCCACGGCTGAGGAAAGATATAAAAAGTCTTTACTGATAATGAAATTATAAACAAAATCCCATATTTGAAACAAAGAAATATGGGCATAAATTTAAGAGACTGTCTTTACCTTCGGAAATATACTCAGAGTGTATCTACAAATATTTATTCCAAAATCAACATTCCATTTTTATAATGTTGGTGGATTTATAAAAGCTATTATCACCTAAAACATTAAAAATAAAAGATATATTTACAAAGCCCAAAAATATACATTCACAACGCTAGAATTCTGAGAGTTCTAAACACCTATTTAATTATGAAGGTAAGTCCTAGATTCATTTTGAAAACTACAGTCTTGCCCTAACTGGTTTGGCTCAGTGGATAGAGCATCGGCCTGCGGACTGAAAGGTCCCAGGTTCGATTCCAGTCAAGGGCATGTACCTTGGTTGCGGGCACATCCCCAGTAGGAGGTGTGCAGGAGGCAGCTGATCGATGTTTCTCTCTCA